AGAGAGAGAGAGAGAGAGAGAGAGAGAGAGAGAGAGAGAGAGAGAGAGAGAGAGAGAGAGAGAGAGAGAGAGAGAGAAGGGAGAGAGAGAAGGGACTGATTGGCAGTACGTACCAGAAGAGGGAGAGGGACAGATTCATTCGTCAGAGCATCCAGTTTTGTCCAAGGGACCCTTTGCAGCTGAGGAGTTGGTGGTGATGGCAACGATTCTACAAGGACCTTCAACGCTTTGGATGCATTTTTAATTGCAGACTGATTGCCAATCACGCTAATGCTCACTCCATCTGAGTGGATAAAGTTGCGATAGGCCTCCTCGAGCTTTGCTATGACATCTGGCCAGAGCGATGTGTCCAGAGTTGCTGCGTAGACTTCATCACTTGCATTCGAAGCTCTTTGGATTGGAAAAAAATGAATTCCCAGTGGAAAGAATTCAGAATTTGAAATTCCATGTTGAATTTTGAAGCAAATTATAAATGCATGGAAACGCCCCCAGTGATGTTGCGAAACATGACAAGCACACAAAAGTCAATATCTAGACAATAGCTTTTTTGAAGTTTTTTTGAACTTTTTTCTAAGGGTTTTTTTTTTTTTTTTTTAATAAAGGATTTCCGATTCCCTGAATTTTCCTCCATTATCACATCTTCTCCAGCCTGATAAGACTGCATGAATAAAAAAAAGAAAAGGTAACTGGGCCTGAGAACAGTTAGACGACAAAAAACAAAATCCATAAAATTTAATATTTTATAGAATTCAGAAAGATATTATTATTTTCTAAATGGAGAATCTTGCCATCCACTATTTTTTTAGCCTTTTGTGACCTGAATGAATAATGTTTATCCAAAAAAAAAAAAAAAAAAAAAAAAAACATAGACTTTTGAACTTTGAACTTTGAAGTTTAAACTTTTAAACATTCTTTTTGCATTGTGTACAATACTGCAGTGTCCAATCTTAATTGTTCAACATCACATCCATTTTTTATTTTCTTATCTTCTTTTTCTTTTCTTTTCCATTTTCTATTTCTTTCAATTTCCTGTTTTTTTTTAACAAAGAAAATTTTGAAAGAAACCATTTCCACATTTATAACGGGCCCAGCGCGCACCGGAAAATTGCACGGTTCCGCTAGCAAAGGAGTAAGGTAAACTGTGTCCCACAAACACCGTTGGGACATCTGCGGGATATCGTCCGACCACTGATGCAGGAGAATCGGATGGCAGCGAAATTGCGAGGGATTTATATTTTGAAGTGGTGTTTTTTTTTGTTTTTTTTTTTGTGCTTTTTCTTTCCAGTTCCCAAGAATGGGAGGCGGGAAAAGAAAATAGAAAGACTCATTTTGATTGGCAGCTCTTCAAAAGATTAAAAAAAAAATCAAGTACTCGAAGGGCATGGTTTTGACCCCCTTCTTGTCCCCCCTCAATTGTTAACCCCATCCAGTACTTCGATTTTCTCTCAAAATATACGAAATGCATGCTTCAGCATGGCAACCATCAGAGAAGGGAGTCCCATCAGGCACACGAAGGGACTCCCTCGCGGTGGTACACGGGACTGCAACAGTCACGTACCACTCTGTCCTGATTAGGCATTGGCTGCGTGGGGAGCAGGGGGAGGAGACGGGAGGTTTAGTGGGACGGCAGCACTTTCAAAAGTCGGCCTCCTTCCCATCTTGGGAAATGTAACGTCGCCATTTTTCTTTTTTTTTTAAGTCTTTAAAATGACTTTTCTTCCTTTTCTTATAGTTCCGCACAGGTCCAAATAGGCCATGACTCGTGTGCTAGTGGAACCATGCCCCACGAGGTAAACATGTTCAGGGGCTGCTTGTGTAACTTCCATTCATTTTCGTCGAAAAAACTCAAAAAAACTCAAAAAAAGTGAGACCGCTTGCAAAAACTTGCCAAGCATCAGTGCTTCGATAATGGATTTCTCTATTTTTAAGAGAACGGACAAAGTATATAAGCAGAAGATCTGAAATGAAATGTACAAGAGTATGAAGACGAACGACCGACACAAAGACTAAGTATAAGCTGAAGATCTGGAGTGAATGAACAGGAGTATGAAGATCTGAACTGAAATGCACAGGAGCATACCTTCCCCCTTTTATACCGTGCAAGTGGGCCGTTAAGGCACACAGGCATGTGGACAGCTGCCGCTTAACCACAATCAACGTGGAACGTGGGCAGCCTTGTACGTCTGAGGCATGGTAAAAGAGGAGTTGTTGCCCCAAAGTAACCCCACCTAAACACAGTTCTAAATGATTCTATTATAATTCACAAGTTGCTTGCTAAAAAGGCAAAATTCTTTAATTGTTGGGCTGGCTCAACTCGAATCCATTTGTGTGTGTGTGTGTGTGTGTGTGTGTGTGTGTGTGTGCGTGTGTGTGTGTGTGTGTGTGTGTGTTTTAACATCCCCAAACTCTCTACCATCACAAACCATCCATAAACAAAAAAAAGTATAGATGACCAATATAATAGAAGGTGCAAGGCTCCCCATGTTTGTTGGTTGAGCGGGAAGTGCCCACACACCCGTCTGCCACCTTAGCGGCACACTTGCACAAATGTATATAGTTTTTTCAATCTATTTTGTGTGTGTGTGTGTGTGTGTGTGTTTGTGTGTGTGTGTGTGTGTGTGTGTGTGTGTGTGTGTGTGATAGGTTGCCAGGGTCACCCAAGCCTGGAGAGCAGGGCCAACCTGCCTAGGTCGCCCAGGCAGACTCACCTGCTGGAAAGAGGATGAGACCAGTAATGATAAAGCACTATATAGCTAGGAAGTTTTTATGCCCGGCCGGACCTGCACGGACGGGCACCCGGGCGTGACGCCCGGGGGGGTCTGATGCCCGGGGAACCCGGGCGTGGCAAAAAAAATAAATAAATAAAAAATAAATAAAATCTTTCTGCGCTTTCCCAGAGGACCCCAAATCCGGGCTTGTTTCATTTTTTGAGAGTTGGCTGTCAAGGGGGGGAAAAGGGGGTATAAATTGTTTTTAAAGGGGCTAAGAGGGGTTAAAGGGGGGTCCTTTAGTGTGAGTTTGTTATTTTCTTTTCTTATCTCTGATTCGGTGAAGAATTCTGATGTGACCCTCAGACAAAAGTTGTTTGTATTGCAATTCTACACAACATATTGTTTGTCTGAAAATTTTTGACTTTCCTTTTTTTTTTTTTTTTTTTTTTTTTTGCGCTGGGGCTGCCCGGGGGTCATGGCCGGCCGGGCACCCGGGCGGGTATCCGGGCACAAGTTGCGTGCCCCGGAAAACAACCTAGCTATATAGTCTATACTATCTTCCTACATGCATGGGTCCTGGGGACCATCTCACGCAAGTGTGTACATGGCATGCATCGTACTCCCACACACAATGAACAGTAGTCTGACAATAGACAAAGATAGAGAAGATGAGGACCGAGTTTCACAGTTTATATTATCAGAAATATGAATACAAAGTGTTTCAAAAATTCCCCTGAGTCCAGCGCTCATCAGCGCAACACCAATATCTTGCCAACTCATCAATATGCCTTCCAGTGAATCAGTGCTACCCCTGCAGATAGTCTCCAAGTCATCAATGTGGTCACCACTCATCAGCGCCACCTCTGCAGGTCACATCCAACTCAGGTAAGTATCTTCCATAGCCAACCTTGAATGAACACTCTCAGCCTCAATCCCTTCCTCCTATGATGCATACACACTCTTCAATAATCATGAGGATCTACTCTGGATACTACTCATAGCTACATACTAACCCTCTATTACTAATGCTAACTCGCTGGGCAGCTATGGCTGCATCACTTCCAGCCTACAGGCATCTTCCTCCCTCCAGCGCGTCTTCTCCTCCAGCGCTGCTCCTCCTGACTCAGCGCACAAGTGCACCAGCACTTCCACGCATTGCAGCCAGTGGAGATCTGGCGAGGAATGAGGCAGGCAGCTCTTTTTATAGTGCTGGCCACTCCTCGCTGGGTCTGCATTGGCTCAATTCAGCCTCTCCCTTTGTCCCAGACCCTGCATTGCATGTGTCCCAGTACAGTCCCAATGAGATTCAACTGCTGCTGAGGCACTTCGGCCTGGATTTGGACTTGAAAGTCTGGATCTGGAYTGACCCYTTGACTTAGACCAGAACTGGGACTGTGCCTACTGACTTCACTTTCGGACAGGCACAACTCTAAGCGAACAGACACATTTACTACTTGAACAGGCACTTTCCATTGCACGAACAGGTACASTGCSTACACGTACAGACACACCCTTACTCGAACAGACATGACATACACATCTCCTGGTGAACAGGTAAGTCTTTTGACAATGCCCTTTGCCTTAGATTTAGATGTGCCTGTTGATAGAGAACTTGACTTTTGACCTGTTTTCACGTTTCTGAGCCCTGGCAAGATACCTTTTCACAATGCTTTACTTTTACAA